GATGATAGGATCCCCCTACTACATGTAAATAAAGCATACTATGAGCACCTATCAGCTGAAGCTTTGGCTGCCGCCTCCACACTATATTTTTCCCTGACCCCCACTGAATAAACGGAGCTGTTCACTGAGTCTGACTCCCTGGAAGGTCTTTTCCATCGTGCTCACTGGCCGTCCTGACCTCGTTCGTCGCTTCTGCTCCCTTTGTTCTCGTGGGTCGGTGGCCAATGGCCCACGAGGGGAGGGAGAGACCCACATGAAACAATCCCCAAATTGCTTCCTTTACTTCATCGACCCCCATCTCCCAAGTACTATGTAAAAGATGGGAGAAAGTTAAGCCTCTTAAGTCAGTCCATTCACTCACCATTTCTCTTAGGCTTTGAGGTCCTCTGTTAGATCTGAGGACTGAAAGAATACATGGCCACTGTCCTTAGGATGGAGCTGGGATTGAAATATAGAAGGATTACTGAAGACCAGTTTTAGTTCACTGAACTTGTTGGCTGAGCATTCCAGGGAAGAATGTAAGAACTTACTAGCATCTATGATCTTGGTATGCCAAGTTAGACAAACAGATATGATTGAGGGAACTCTAATATGAGCATTTGTTAATGATTTATGAGTGCAGTTCGTCACAATAGAGTGTAGTCATAGAAGGTTCTATTTTAACTGTATGCAACCCAGTCTCTTTAAAGCACAATTATCAGTCTATCTTCCAGCAGAACACTAGAACAAATGGAGCTGCTGCTGATTCTTTGGAAGCCTTCTATTTGCACACAAAGCAAATCTCAGATTGGAGAACAACACGGATTAATCAAGTGAACATAGAACTTATTGTTCTCTTGCAGAAACCCAACAAAGCTTATGCTTCCTGTCTTGTTTCAAAATGTTCATTAGTGTCTGTCTTGATGAATTTTCATAAACAGTTCCTAAGAAATTACATAGATAGGGTCTCTCATCATTCAGCATTGACCAAGTGGCTTCCACCACAGGAAACTTCCTATATCTATGAAAGTAAGTAATGAGTTAATATGTAAAAGGACTGCCTCCAATCCCCATTACCTGGCTTGATATGTAGTACTATGTATAGTGAGGACATTTAAAATATGATTTCTCAACCACACTGTATGCCACAGACATATATAGTCATTGTTTGTGCAGTAAAAAAGTGTGGCAGAGTTCTGAAAAATGACAAAGGGCTTTTTAATTATATTAAAAGAAACAAGAAATGAAACCTGTATATTGTACAAAGGAGGCTGACTCTAAGTGACCCATTCTATGGGCACTGGGCATAAGCACCAAACTGTGTGTCTGAAATACAACCTGAAATGAGATCATTATGACATTTTGGGTCAGATAACTTTTGTTTGGAAGATGTTCTATACTCTGTGGGGGTTTAACAACATCCCTTGGCTCTACCCATTAGATATCAGTTGTAATAACATCTCTTTAGTTGTGACAACCAAAAACATTTCCAAATCTTGCCAAATGTGTCCTGGGGTGGGGTGTGAGATTGCCCCTGACTGGCTACTATTGATATACAGGAAAAATACAGGACTAGTCCAACAATACCAGAATTACTATTTCTCTCTTCTTATACAAATAGGTGATATCATACGCTGTGAAAAAGTAGAATCCTAAAAGGAGAAACATTGGCTCTTTTTATGGAGCAGATTTCTCAGGTCTTAGAGTGGATGTACTTAAAAATTCTTTTAAGACTGGTCTTACCACAAACCTACTGAGCTGCAGTGGGAATATGTTTCATTAGCATCTTTCCCTGATAATATCTGTGTAACTAGTTAGGCAGTAGTCTAATGGCACAAATGGTGGTAGCCAGTAAAATAATAATGAATGTCTGATTTGAAAATCCCATCAGTGAGACAATTCATTTACTCAACAAAGGTCCTACCACAAACCTACTGAGCTGGAGTGGGAATATGTTTCATTAGCATCTTTCCCTGATAACATCTGTGTATTCCTCTAGTTAGGCAGTAGTCTAATGGCACAAATGGTGGTAACCAGTGAAATAATAACGAATGTCTGATTTGAAAATCCCATCAGTGAGACAATTCATTTACTCAACAAACTGTTGAGGACCTACATTACACAAGGACTAGTTTATTTATTTTTAAAAACATTTTATTTGCCGGCATGTGTGTGAGCACATCTGTGTCGTGCAATGCCACAGAGGTCAGAAGAGGACTTAGGATTCCCCTGGAACTGGAGTTAAGGACAGTTTGTAGCAGCCATGTGGGTGTTGGGAAGCGAACCTGGATCCTCTGCAAGAGCGGTCAGTGCTCTTAACCACTGAGCCATCTCTCCAGCTGCACAAGGACTATTTTAAATATTTATTTTTCATTATTGTATATGTGTGTGCCTGCTTGTGTATATGTGCACGATGTGCGTGCACTGCCTGGGGAGTGCAGAAGAAGGCATCAGATCCCTTAGAACGGGAGTTACAGACAGTTATTAGCACCATGTGGATGCTGGAAATTGAACCTGGGTCTTCTGAAAGAGCAGCCAGTGTTCTTAACCACTGAGCCATCTCTCCAG